AGCCCACGAGGACCATCCTCGAAACCTTCAAAATCGTGGACTGCCCAAGCGAGTACAATGCCATCTTGGGCAGAACGGCACTTTACAAGCTAAGAGGTGTCATCTCAATCTTTCACTATTCCATCAACTTCCCGACCTCAGACGGGGAGGGATCTCACCGAGAAGACCAGAGAGAAGCGTGGGAATGTGTTCTGACCATTCTGCGTTCAGAGATCAACACCGTCGACATCGTCTCAGATGCCGAGATGACAGTTGTCCAGAAGCACTCCCCAATCATCGATAATGCAAGCGCCGAGTCGTTATGCGATGGAACAAGGGGCAACCGCATGCTGGGGAACCATATAGGTTCGCCTCTCTTGTCTGAGACAAACACCGACTCGGTCAGTGTAGGAACAGGGATCAAACCAAGTCAAAGCACCGAGCCAGCTCACCTCAACCCCAGGGACAACCACATGCTGGGTAACCAGATAGGTCCGCTCCTTTTGGCCAATAGTGACGCCGACCAGGTTGAAGGAAGAGCTGGGGCCGACCAGGACCAAAATAGGGGGCGAAGAGCCGACAAGGAGCCTGTGATGGAAGAAGACGAACTCGACCCCAAAATGCAGTACGAAGAAAAGAGGGGAACCAAAAGAGCTGAGCCAATGGACGAAGTTGAGATCATCTTCATTGATGAGGGAACTTGTCAGAAGAAGCTCCGGATCAGAAGCAGGTTACCGGAGCCGCTGAAAGCCGAACTGACCAAGTTTCTTCAGGAAAACGCGGACGTCTTCGCGTGGACCCACGAGGAAATGGTTGGCATCGACCCGAAGGTCGCCTGCCATAGGTTACAGGTCGACCCCACAGTCAAACCGGTGGTTCAGAAACGAAGAAAGCTCGGCCCTGACCGCCAACAAGACCTTGAAGAGGAGGTGATTAAATTGAAAGATAACGAGTATATCCGAAAGGTCTGATACCCGACCTGGTTTGCCAACATGGTCCTCGTAAAGAAAAGCAGCGGGGCGTGGCACTTGTGTCTTGACTTTTTCGACCTAAACAAGGCGTGTCCCAATGACAGCTACCCCCTGTGTCACATCGATTACATGGTGGAAGCCACTGCGGGACACGAGTTGATGAGCTTTATGGACGCGTACACTGGATATAATCAAATATCCATGAACCCCGACGATGAGGAACACACCTCCTTCTAATCGGCGCGTGGACTCTACTGTTACACCATGATGCCATTCGGGCTAAAGAACGCTGGGGCCACCTACCAACGGCTAGTTAACAAGATGTTCGCTAGTTTGATAGGTGTAAGCATGGAGGTGTATGTAGATGATATGTTGGTTAAGTCCGTGTATGCATCTGATCATGTTAACGATCTCAATAAAATGTTTTACATTTTGCGTGATTACTCGATGAAATTAAATCCCAAAAAATGTACGTTCGGTGTCGGATCGGGAAAGTTCCTGGGCTACATCGTTAGCCAGCGCGGTATCGACGCGAACCCCGAGAAGATCCAGGCA